TCCCTCTCCCTCTCCCCCTCCCCCCCCCTCTCGCTCTCTCGCTCTCTCTCTCTCGTGCAGACAGAACCCATCATCTGTTTGTTTATGGAATGCAATGATGTACAAATAAAGTATAGCAGTGTTCTTTGGGATGAGGAAATATTCTGTTTTCTTTATTCTCCAGGAAAATGTGATGTCGTGATGGCATTAGTAATGAAGGCCATGGGGTATGAACTTCCCTACTATTCTAGGGCAAGTGACCCAATTTTTCATCTTTCAACCCCTCTTCATCCTGGGGAATACTCTACCACAACTCGGCCACACCTACAACCACCCACGGAAGATGAGGAAGAACCTGTTGCCAGGAAGAAGGGGGAGGCAGGCTCTGTCTCTGTCTCGGATGTGAGATGGAGAAAGGATGGTGCAGACGAGTCAAAGAAAAGGAGAATTCATGTGGAGGCTGATGAGTACTTAGTTGACAATGAAATAAAAAATGACATTAAAAGTGAGAATGAAAGCAAATGTGATATCAAGACAGTGAATGGCCTAACTTCTACTTGGGATATAAAAGCTGCTCACCTGAGTGAGAGTGAAGGTTCACTGCTTCAGGAAAAGTTTAAATGCAACTCTTTTCTCCTTTGTGATGACAGTCTTATCAAAAGAGAAGATGACATTGAGCACAAAATTAAGGATGAAGAAACTAGTGAAGAGAAAGTTTGGGTTGGGGACACACATAGTGAGTGTAGTCAGTTTGTAAAGGAGGAGAATTCCTTAATCAGTGGGTCTTTAGGGGAGGAGGAGTTCAAAAGTGATCCAATGGAAGAAGATGAAATAAAAAATGAGTCCATGGAAGAAGAACCAAAGAGTGAGCCTGTGGAGGAAGAGGAAGAAGAGGATGAAGATACCAGAAATGAGCCATCAGACGAAGAGGAAGTGAAAAGTGAAACTTTAGAAGAGGATCTAAAGAGTGATGGTTTAGACAGTGATGATGAATCTCAACTGTCAGATGTGGAATCCTGTACTTGGATGAGTGAAAACCTGAGTGAAAATTTTCTGAACACAAATGTGAATTCATTGAAAACCAGTGAAAGTTCATGCTCAGAGTCTGATTTGAGTGAGAAAGCAGACTGTGAGAAAGGGAATGACAGTGACTCACCAGTGAGGAAATGCAATAACATAGATTATTTCAAACTAGCCTATTCATCAACCAATGTTAAGATGGCTAAGCATGGGCAGGCTCTCTTAAAACAGAATGATTTCTATGGCACAGGTCTTTGTATCAGGTCCTTAGGGGAAAGTCCAGTAACTAGTGGAAAAGAAATGCGGGCAAAAAGTGCAAGTAATGGGATGAGAACAAATGTATTTTTCAATACAAATGAAGTGTCTGTCAGTGAACAGTGTCAAGAAAATGTGACAGATCAGTGCATTAATACTGAGCAACTTGTTAGTACTGCAGAGAGAGATAATGCAAACACCTACCTAAACCCAGCCTCAGCAACTGATTCTAAAATGTCTAGTCTTCCTAACTGCCATGATTCTCCTTCCATATTATCCATGTGTTCAAGTGACAGTAGTGATAAGGTAATGGTTCCTAATTCCCTGATAGAAACAGAAGAAAGTGACTTATTGGTTCAAAGAGAAGTTTTAACTTCTAGCAATTTAAAGGAAAACCTTGACTTTCAGCTGAAACAGACATATGACAGAGAACTTTCACTAGTTGTTCCTCAGTTTCACAGCAGTGTATTACCTGTAGAGAAAGAATGTGTTGTTAAGTCAGAGGAAGTTTGTGTAAATGCTCATTCTGCTGAAAGTATGAATACAATTGTCTCAAATTCCTCAACAGATGAATATAGTCAAAATGGGTCAATAGTGGCTGATGGCAGTTTTTTACTTAGAACTCATATTGTTGATGGAATAATCAGGACAGCCTGTGTTGAAACACTTGCAGAAAATGAATCTGAATGTAAAGAGGAAATCCCTGTGGCTTGTGATGCACCTCATGATTCTTTTCCTAGAACTTGTGAGGGTCAAACTCAACTACTGAACAGT